GAAATAAGTCAGAGGGAGAACATCAAATACCATATGATCTCACTCATTAAGAAGTAGATAATAACAACAACAAACAAACACATAGAGACAGAGATTGGATTGGTGGTTACCAGAGGGAAGGGGGGAGGGAAGAGAGGGAAAGGGATAACCAGGCACATGTGTGTGGCGAAGGATTGTAATTAGTATTTGGGTGGTAAACGTGAGAACATGATGTAATCCATGCAGTAATAGAAGTATAATGATGTACACCTGTAATATATACACTGTTATAAACCAATGTTACTGCCAAAAAAAAAACCACTGTGAACATGTCATTCCACTCTCACCTGGACTGTAGGGTTTCTACTGAGAAATCCACTGATAGCCTAATGGGAGTTCCTTAATAAGTTACAATCTTCTATTCCCTCGTTGGTTTTAAGATTCTCTCCTTATATTTGATTTTTGACAGTTTCATTCCAAGACAGTGTCTTGGAATTGGTCTTTTTGCATTGAGATAACAGGGTGATCTATTAGCTTTGTGATCTTGGACGTTCAAGTCTCTCCCCAGGTCTGTGACGTTCTCAGCCATTATTTCTTTAAATAAACTTTCTGCACCCTTCTCCTCCTCTTCACCTTCTGGAATCCTGATTATTCTAATTTTTGTTCTTTATATGGAATCCCATAGATCATGTAGGCTTTGTTCATTCTTTTTCAATCCTTTTTCTTATTCTCCTAATTGGGTTATTTCAAAATTCCTGTATTCTAACTCACTTATTCAGTTTTCCATCTGCCCTAGAAGGCACAGATACTCTGTATTCCATTTTTCCATTTCATTCATTAAATTCTTCATCTCCAGAATTTCTCTTTCTTTTTTGATTTCTATCAATTTGGTAAATATCTCATTTTGTTCACATATTTTTTCCTAATTTCATTGAATTCGCTCTCTGAGTTTTCTTGTAATTCATTGAGTTTCCTCAAAACAGCTATGTTGAATTCTTTATCAACCAGGTAACAAAATTCCATGCCTTTGAGTGAGGTTATTGAAGAATTATTATCATCTTTTGGTGATGACATGTTTCCCTGATTTTCATGCCCTTGTAGTTTTGCATTGCTGCTTTCACATTTGAAGTAGCAGACGCCTCCTTAAATCTTTACTAGTGGCCATTAGAAAGGGTATTCTGTTTGTTGGTGCTGGGATTTTCTCTGCCTTTGTATGGGTGCATCCGCTTCACTCATCTTGCTCTCTCTTGTGGCAGAATTCTTAAGATTTTATGTCTTCTCTGGTTCTACAACACAACAGGCTGGCCACTGGAAGCTTCTCTTTTGTTTTCCAGAAGGTGGTGCTATACTTCAAGTGTGTGGTTTCTCCTTTGCGCACAGATCCTGGTCTGTTTTTCTGATACATGCTATTTACCAGACCAGCTCTCATCATCAAAATCAGCAATGTGCACAAGGAGCCAGCCACAGAGTGAGGGGAGTTGTGGGTTTAGTACTAGGGATGATGGGGGTGCCTGCAGACCTGGTGGGGAGATCTGTGGGTAAGGTACCCCAGAAGCACATGGGAGGACTTCTTGCAGAAATCTTGAATACAATCAGCAGGAACTGTCTCCCTTTAATGCCCTTTGATATTCTTATCTGCCTCTTTCCCAGTCTCTTCCCTCCTCCCAGTCATGGAGGTCTTGCCTCGTACTCTGAGTGCTGCTGGAAAGAAATGGGTTTCTCTAGTTACATCCCAAACAACTCAGCAGTGAGCCAGGCACTCACTCACCACTCTCCTTTTTCCACACTGGAGAGGTCACAGCCACAGGATAGTTTAGCCTCGTGCAATATCACCAGGCTTGTGCTGGAATCTCCCTTCAGAAGGCTGGACTTTTGCAAATTCTCCCCTATCTGTTAATATGTGCCCAGGTAAGCATATTCCAGGGTTTTTTCCACCAAGGCAGGAGGGGTTGGGTCATGTTCATTGGATCCGCTGGTCCCCAACCCATACTGAGGTCTTCTGCCTATTACCAGCTGCACAGGTAGGTCAGACTCCTCCAACATCCCTTGGCCTGTGGTGCTAGATATCACAACTCCCACAGAGGCACTTTTGCTCATGGACGGATATCTAATTAGTTGTTTAAAAAGGGGGACAAAAAGGAGGAATATCTTATACCACCATGATGCTGACATCTAGAAGAGCATTTTAAAGGACAGGAGTATAAACAAATATCATGAAATGGCCTAAGAAGAGGTGAAAGAGACACAGGAGGAAATCATTCAACACAGATTTGACAGAAAATAATAGAGGAAACTTAATTGGTGGTACCATATTTTTAAAATAAACATCAAGCTATCAAACGTATGCATATTTTCAACTCGAACTATCAGCTTAATGCTCTCCAGGCAATTGATTCTGTGTAATAGGAAGTGCCAAAAAGCCAGGCTATTAAGTTGCAACTCATCGTGGCAAATAAAAAGTCAATCCATGCTGAGAACACCCACAAAGATGTCTTGCACACAAAAAATTTAAAAATGGTACTAACAAAATATATTTGTTGGAACAATGAAAGGAGGGGAGGAGAAAGCCTTGAAGACTCGCTTCTTTAGTACACTCACCCTTTCAACCATGAGGCTGCCACTTCCTAGGGTCATGACACAGGCCAGCTACATTTCTTTTCTTCCCATAGCCATGGCCACAAGAGTCCACTCCTGATGAGCCCCTGCTCCGAGGTAAAAGGAGGCAAGATCTCCAAGAGATGTTGAGAGAAGTAGGACTGGAAGTTGAGTACTGGTTACCCAAGCTGCAGGAACACCTGGGTGTGACCTGTGCCCAGGCCTTACAACACCTAGAAGAAAATGACCTCCAGAAACTGAAATCTCAGGCACAACATCCCTGGGAGAAAAGAGCCCTGGAGAAGCTGCTTAACCTGTCACACTCAAATAGTATTTCAGAGTTACAGGACACACAGGAGAATATGATAAAGAAAAATCAGAAGCAGACAGAGCAGGCACTGCAGGAACTAAGAGACTTGCTGTCTGAAGGGAGGCAGTGACAGAAGAGGCAGTGAAGAAAAAAGAGGCAGAGCTGAGGCAGGCAATGGAGATCCCCAAAGAGTACTGGCCATCCCAAAAAAAAATCCCTAAGAAAAGTCATGGAAAACATGCAGAGACAACTCAACCTCATGGAGTGGACACTGTCTCACAGGCAAACCCTCCCAGTTAGATCTCTAGTGAGATGGGCATCTGGAGGGCTGGCCCTGCAAGGAATTTACAAACCCAGCTACCAAAGAGACCTGATAGAGAAGAGAGAGGAGCTATTCAGTGTCCCCAAGCAGTTCTCACTCTTTGGCCCTGAGCAGGGCACACAGATGGAAACAAAGGATTTCACATCTTCTCAAGCAGAATCTATGTCCACCCAGACTATAGAGAAGCTGGGCTTCAGTGTAACTACTTCACCAAGGGCAGAGGTTGAGGATTCAGCCTGGAAGCTGGTATGGATCACAGCAAACATTCAGAATCCAAAGAAGCCCAACAATCACATTCTGACACCTCTTATTTCTGCTCAACCAAGTTCAGCTATGTCCCGCTGGCCTCCTGCAACTTTCCAGTTGATCAGCTCCAGCTCTCCAAGGCTGCTCTCCAGGAATTGAAATGCATTGAAGACCTTCTGGGTCAGCCTGCAGGCCCAGACAGACTCCCCTTGCTGAGGGGCAGGACTGAAGCCTTCTTCCAAAGGTTTGGCTTTCATGCTAACCAAGGCCCTCTGCACCTGGGAGGAATCTATTGGCAGAAAGCCATTTCAGAGGGCTTCTGAAGTGAGCAGCTGGCAGAAGTGAAGCAGCAGACAGCAGAGGCCTTGGATATTTACATAAGGGGTAGCTACAATGGCTTTGGAGTGAAAGTTGCTACAGGTGTGGATGTGTCAGACTCTCATTCAGAAGCAGCCTCTCAGAGCACAACCTTCCAAAGTCTCCAAACCAAAGTCCAATTATCTGTGGCCCAGACAGGTGGCCCACCAGAAGCAAATGGCTTTTTGCAGTGCAAAGCAGGCCTAGTTGCCTGTAATAAAACCTGGTGTGTCATTGACCGGGGATTTCAGCTGGTGCTCATTTGGAACATCATCCTCTCCAGACACAGAAGCAATTTTAAGGATCCTTTTCTGGTAGCTAACCACCTGAAAGACAGCTACACTGCTCTGACTGGCCTCACTGCCCAGATCCAATATGGAGAAGAATTATTGAGTGTCGGGGAGGAGGTTGGGGTTTTTCCAGAGGATGTGAAATCCTGGAATGTATCTGATCCAGAAGAGCAGCCTACAAAACTAATAAATTTCATGCAAATGTTGACGCAAAAAATAGAAAGTCATGACACTTGGATTAATGTATGCCTCACAGATTGGAGTCTGCAGAATTTTCTGGTAAACACTGTCAACTTTTACAAAAAGTCTTCCATTTATAAAACTAAACATATTAAATCTCAGTTGCACAGCCTTCTGGATCCTCACATTTACACAGTGACAAACTTTCCTCAGGCTCATTCCATCACACAGTAGATCTTCCAATCAGAGTCAGGCCAAGAGCACATCAACATCTCCCACTTTTCTGAATTAATTAAAATCTTAAAAGAAACCCAGAATGACCTCATGGCAGTGAAGGCCAAATCTGAGTCCCCAGAAACAGTGGATGAAGCTCAAAGGAAAGCCACTTATGAGGTCAGCTTGTCTCTTGGCTGCTTCTTGAAATACCTCCAAGTAACCGAGCAGCCAGACACACAGATCTTGATACTTTCCATTGCTGCTGGTGCAGGATATCATGTGGGAAACAATACTTTTCATTATCTCCTGGGGTGTGATGAGTTAGACTTCCTACTGGATGAAACGCAAACTGCCCAAGATAAAAACCAGAGGCTCAAAAATATTTGCAGCTACAGGTGCTCACAGTTCTGACAGCTACTGCTGGAGTCACAGCTGTTTCTCCAGAGGAGAAAACACAATGCTTGGCATTAATAAGACATCACATGGGACAATCTTTGTCTAAAGAAGTTGTGCATATCCTCATCAAACTTGGAGCTGATCACGATTGGGAAAAGCTAGAGAAATACTTGAGATTCCTCATTGACGGGAATTATGAAGCCACCATGTCTTCATTGCAAATGGATGATGTGAGAAAACAATTACAAAGTCTCTTGCATGAAAAGAAACATGTCCATAAACCACATGATAAAGAAAATAGCAAAGAGGCGGTCATAGAAAATAGAGATCTCCTAGAATTACTCCAGCGTCTAGGCCTAGAACATTACTACCCAAAAAGGATGAGCAAAGCTGACTTCCATCTGATCTACAAGACTTCTGTGTACAACACCCAGCCTAGCTCTGAATGTGAGCTTCCCTTCTATTTTATCCAGTAACTACTGATGCTGGATTATGGGCTGAGATACTTGGTCTTCAAAGATGATGGAAACACAGAGAATCAAGTCTGTTCAAGAACCTCAAATCAGGAAAATGAGGCTTTTGATCCAAATGAAGACATTTTTAAAGACAGTGATAGTCCCACTAATCCTTCAGCCACAAAATCCAGGCCCCATATTCACCCTATAACATTCAGATGGCAGTACTTCACTGTGCAGATGATTTTGCCAGACAATATATTTTGACCAAACTTTCCATTTGTCAGTTTGCCCTCCCCCTTCTCATACCTAATCCCTGTAATTCTCAAATTGAATTCTCTCTCTGGTCTCTCAGTCAAATTAGAAGAAGCTGGCAGCAAGCATAGAAATCACCAAAGAAGAGAAGGACAATTACAACAATCAGCAGATGTGTCATGTCTCTACCCCCACTGTGTCCTTTAGTAGAGCTGGAAATGGCTTCTCTGCTTCCAAATCTCAGATCATGAACTGTCTTCTCAGTAAACATAAAAATGATGTCTTTTTTCACCGACACTGCAGAGAGAGCAACAAAGACTGTCTCTTGATGGAGGGTGTGGTGGAGGTCTGCTGGTTCTGTCCTGCAGGGGAGGATGAGGACAGATTTGATACCTGCTTGACCTTCACCAATGTTCATGGAGATGCAAAGGAACACAAGAAGCAACTCACCTTCCTGCAGGAGGTCTCTTCTCTCATTGTGATCCCCATGTCAAGTTCCGATGACAACAATGAAAAGCGAAAAGTAGTCCGTGACCTGTGTCAGTCATCAAAACCTTTGACCCGTTTACTTGATGACAAAGAAAAAACCCTGGCCAATAATTCTGGCCTAAAAGTGAGAATTGGGATCAGGAACAGAAATGAGGCAGAATTAACAGAGGAGCTCACAACTACAATCCGACGTTTGCTAGAGCTCTCTGGCACTGCTCTCAGCTTACAGGACTGTGCCCAGTCAGCTTGGAAGCAAGGACTCCTTGTTGATAAAGACCAGAGAGATTGCAAGGACGCCAAAGAAAAGGCAGAGATTCTAATGGCCCTACTAAAAGAAACGAAGATATCTCAGATGACGGAAAACTTACTACCCCTTCAAGGACAACTGTGGCACATTTGGTGTAAAAAGGACAAAGAACTCTACCATCTGAGAGAAAAGGGAAATCGGAGCGTTGAACAACACAAGAGTGAGACTGAGACAGATAAACAAATAATACGGCATGAACAGTTCACCAGAGCCTTTCCTCTCAATGATTTAATGCAATCTGTCCTCGAAATTCTCAAAAAACATTCAGAAACGAACACAAAACTGTACTTCTTGCAATGGCTGAGTGTGTTTTTGGACAACCTGACTGCAGGACACTTGGAAAAGCTGAATGAAAAGAAAAAGTCTTTATACAAACTGGTACAAACTGAAAAGCAACAGGCATCAAAGAGCAACAACCTGAAAGACTGGCAAAAGGAGATAGAAGCTATCTCTGCAGAGACTACTAACTGTACCTTGGGAATTCAGCAACTTCTCAGAGAAGTTGGCCAGATCTATGAAGCTCTGGAAGAAGCTTCCTTTACCAAAGATCTCCTTTTTCTCTCCCTTCCCCAGATTGCTGCAGATCTGATGATATCTGGTGTTCCCATTGAGCTCATGGATGGGGATGCTTCCTATGTGCCTCTAAAGTGGGTGGCCGCTGTTTTTGACAAAGACACTGCAAAACTTGGAGACAAACGGCTGTTTGTTCTCTCTGTCCTTAGCCTGCAGAGCTCAAGAAGTCCACCCTGCTTAATGCCCTTTTAGGGCTGCAGTTCACTGTCAGGGCTGGGAGGTGCACACGGGGGTCCTACATGCAGCTCCTGAAGGTTCAAGAGACCTTCACAGAGGAACTTGGCTTTGACTTTATGCTTATTCTGGACACGGATGGACTTCAGGCCCCAGAACTCAGCAACAAATCCCAGAATCATGACAACGAGCTGGAATCCTTTGTCATTGGACTTGGAAACTTGACTCTGATCAATATTTTTGGGGAAAATCCATCTGAAAATCAAGATATTCTACAAATAGCTGCCCAAGCCTTTCTGAGGATGAAACAAGTAAAAATCTCCCCAAGTTGCCTCTTTATCCAACAGAATTTGGGGGAAGTTACGACTAAAGACCAAACTATGGAAGGACGCAGGTGGCTAGAGCAGAAACTAGATGAAATGACAGCAACAGCAGCTGAACAAGAACACTGCTCAGATGTAACTCACTTTTGTGATGTCATCAAGTTTGATGCCAATACTCACGTCTACTACTTTGCTCACCTCTGGGATGGCAATCCCCCAATGGCCCCTCCCAATCCTCGCTACAGCCACAACGTCCAGGAACTGGAAAGTAGAATTCTTGTGACTGCCAAAGAGGAATCTAGGGGAAGTATCATGAAGATATCAGATGTAAAATTCCAAGTTCAAAAGTTGTGGAGAGCCCTGTTGAATGAGAACTTTATTTTCAATTTCAGGAACACCCAAGAGGTCATGGCCATGAGAAAATTGGAAACTTTGTATAACACATGGACCTGGGAACTGAAGAGTCATGTGTTGGGCTTGCAGAACACTCTGATCAACCAGATTCAGAATGAGAAAATCCAGACATTCAGAACAAGCACATTTGAGGCTCCAGTTACAGAAAAATATGAAGCCATCAAGCAAGAATTGGAGAAATATTTTGATGAAGATCCAGGTAGTGAAATACTGGTTCAGTGGAAAGCAAATTTTGAAAATAAGCTGATAATCCTTAAAGAGGCACTTATTTCACACAGCCAAAGAAAAGCCAATGAACTTCTTAGTTTTAAAAAATGTCAAGAAACACTGGATAACCAAAAGTCAGGTTATGAAAAGGAATTATTGGAAAGAAGCCGAAAATTGGCTTTAACTCTAAAGGGCAAAGAACTGAGTAAGGAAGAACTACATGAGAAGTTAAAACAACTTTGGAAAAAATGGATCTGTGCTGCGTCCTTAAGGCTGCCTCCAATCACAGAGCATAATATTGATGTTTATTCTGAAAAATCCTTTTGAATTATTTCTAACAGGTGAAAAACATGGTGGACATACTGAGGAGAAATTCTGGAGAAAAGTTTCAATTCAACTAGGACAACAATGTCAAAACCACTGAGAAATACCTCCTATTTACAAGGCATTTAGACATCTGTGATAAACAGTCCATAATTATGACTACTGACCACATTATTTCAAGATTTACTGAAACTACTAATAACATTTAGAATCAACAGTGTGATTACAATCCAAGTTATTTCCATGGAATCCTGAGAATAATAGATGAGAAGGTGAAATCTGCACCCACTGGGGAAAGATACACATTTATAAGTAAATATAAAATTGACTTGGGCTGGCCCCGTGGCTTAGCGGTTAAGTGCGCGCGCTCTGCTGCTGGCGGCCCGGGTTCGGATCCCGGGCGCGCACCGACGCACCGCTTCTACGGCCATGCTGAGGCCGCGTCCCACATACAGCAACTAAAAGGAAGTGCAGCTATGACAGACAGCTATCTACTGGGGCTTTGGGGGAAAAATAAATAAGTAAAATCTTTAAAATTGACTTATCTTTGTGTTTATTTCAAAGAGCATCAGAGAAACTTAAGGAGATGCACATGGCATTTGAGAGAGCTAGTGATCCCATAAACTATCTGGAAAGCAAGAAAGATGATTTTTCATTAGTTTCAAGATCTCTTGTCAAGGAGCAACCTCAATCAAAACATTTGTTGATTTTCTGTGGCAAAAACTCACTCCTGCTGTTTCTGCCACCATATGAGAGAAACTGGCCACTAACGTTGCTGGGAACATACAATCCACCTGCCCTGCATTCAATGGAAATAGGGGCCACCTGGAGAAACACATTCTCATCTCTCTGGCAGAAGAACAAAATTTTAATAATTATTCAGAATTATTTTTTAGGAATTACACTAAAAACCATATTGAAAGATATTACTCAGACAAAGGAAGTGAAAAAATGAAGACTTTTTTACAAATAAGTTTCGATTACATCAAGATTGCCATCCTCTCAACTATGTGTGAATCCACAGCAATAGCTAAAGATAAAAGCAACACTATGTGTAAGTGGTTGGATTTGTTCTGTGATCACCTGGGGTGGGATGTGATCTTTCCATGAAAAGACTTGGTAAGCATTGAACACCAGGAGATAAAAGATGTTGAATTTCTCAAAGAAGCCATGAGTGAAGCTTTGGATCCTGCAATGCAGAGAACAGAACAGAACTATTTGAGTATGTCTATAGAAAAAATGCCTCCTCAAATCAAAAAAATGCTCTTTGAACATCTCTCTGGCTGCTGGAAACAATGTCCCTTCTGTAAAGCAGTATGTACAAAGACATTCCCTACACATGAGGGAGACCTCAGTGTTCTCTTCCACCATCCTCAGGCTGTCAATGGACAGGGATGGCACGAAACAGACCACTTTCTCATTGAGTGCTGTCTTAGTGTGGTAGCAAGTGATTATCTTCTTGTTTTGGAAGATGGCCAGAAATTCCCATATAAGAACTATTGACAGGCCAGAGGGGTGTATGCCACATGGCACATCACCTTAGACTCATCCACCCAACCATACTGGAAATGGTTGGTCTGTCACTTCAGACTAAAGCTAGAAGAAAAGTATCAGAAAAAATTTATAGATAAAGGTGAAATACCCGATGCATGGACCAAAATCACAAAGCAGAATGTGCTTGATGAAAATGGTTTGTCTGTCACTTCGAACTAAAGCTAGAAGAAAAGTATCATAAAAAATGTATAGATAAAGGTGAAATCCCCGATGCATGGACCAAAATCACAAAGCAGAATGTGCTTGATAACTCGAAAAAACAATAATATTCAATGACCACAAAAGAGCCCCAGTATCTGAAAAAAAATCACCGTACCTGAACAATCCTAAAACACCCCCTCCTCAAAATGGGAATCCTCATTATTTCCATTTTTCAAATAACACATCTAAAAATATATCAATCAACATTTCAAGAGTTGAAGATTTCCTGTGAAAGGACTTCATTTTTCTTTGCCTCAATTCTTTCTGGTTTAAAAACAAATTACTAAAATCTATGAAGATATAATGAAATCAAATAGAATTCACTTAAAATAATAACTTCATATTTTAAACTATTATTCCGAATGTTGTTTTTTAATTGAAAATATATAATGTTATATAAAGACTCAGAGAAAGTCATTTTCATAGAGGAAAATGAAAATCATTGAAGACTGCTACAAATTTCTATAGAATAACTATATGGATATTCAACCAATATACAGTTCTTAGCTGGAGCTACAAATTGACTTTTTTTAAGTGTATTTCTTCAACATCTGAAATTGTGAGGAAAAGTTACTAACCCTTGAACAAAAAAACATTCATGGAAAGTTTCTGAATCTCAAGCATAGTGATATTTTGGCATAGTCTGTTCTGGGAAACAATACAAGAGAAACTTGGCCAGGATAGAGCCTGCATCAGTTCAAGAAACATTATCAAGGAAATATGGAAAACACAAATCAAATAACTGTTTTTCTCATTTAACCATCACTCCCTTCTTCTCTGACATCTTGGCAGTTGCCTGTGCATATTAAAACAAAAAAAAGGATGCTGGCCAGATTGCATAGTGGTTAGGTTTGCATGCTTTGCTATGGTGGCCAGAGGTTCATGGGTTCAAATCCCGGGGACAGACATATGCTACTCATCAAGCCATGCTGTGGGGGTGACCCACATACAAAATAGAGGAGGATTGGCATGGATGTTAGCTCAGGGACAGTCTTCCTAAAGCAAAAAGAGAAAGATTGGCAACAGATGTTAGCTCATGGCCAATCTTCCTCACCAAAAGAAAAAGTTCACAAGAGGTTAGGTATTCAAAGCCTAATGCTATGTATAAGTCTGAAAAGGACTGGCTTTTGGAATGAAATTTATGACCAGGTAAAAAGAGCCATTTTAATCAAGGCTGTGGACAAGTTCAAATGTGACTAAGCCATTAATGATGAAAAAACTATTCCTCCAAGAATAAAACATCAAAAAGTATGTAGTTTTTAGGTTCTGATATTTTAATGAGATTCTTTTTTGTGTATTAAAATGTAAGGAAATGCTTATCTTCAAATCAGTCACCCTTGTGACTTTTCACACTATTTGAGCCATAGGGTCACGATCAGAATAAAAATGAAGAACATTCTGAAAACAACCAAGGAACTGGGAGAAGAAAGAAATTGTCATTCTTCAAATCTACATCTTCTGAAACAATGACTTATGCTAGGTTCTCAAAGCTGATGATCTAAGGGAATTCTGATACAAAGAAGAAAATTTCTTCATTTTGGACATAAGGGCATCCATTGGCTTCCATTTACAGACACACTATCTACCCCTCAATAGCCAGTTAAAACAGACAGTCCAGGGAAGAGCAGTCTAAGGATTTGGATCTTCAGAGCTTGGATACAGGAGTGCTGACTCTGCTGCCCTTGTCTCCTTAAAGGGCTTCAAGCACACTCTCAGTTTCAGGTCAAATGACCTGAAACAGAAAAAATCCTCCAGAAAAAATCCTGAAACAGAAAAATTATGATGGAAACGTGTTCCTGAACAGTATGGTTTTCCTTTTTTTCTCTGGAAAATACTCTCAGTAAGTTGTGGAATGACTTTCTAATAAGATAAATTTGAAATGGAAATAGAACCTGTGCATAGCATGGTGCCCGCTTCTCACATCACTGCATCCTTGAAAACTGCAATGTTCAGTTAACATTTGCTGAGTGCTTTTTGTATTTGTTTAATGAATCGGTAATGTCCTTTAACTATAATGTCCTTTAACTAAGAAATATCATAAATTAACTTTGATTTT